CCTTCATTCTTTGTACCTTTATCTTTGACATTCCTTTCTTTCATTCTTTGTGGCTTATCATTCTTAGTGGCTCATACTCTCTGAGTACTCTTGTGTAGTTTAGTATATATAGGTGTACAAGATTAGACTGGTCCTGTAGTCTTGATCTTGTCTACTCTAGGTAGTCCTGTACTCTTAGGCTCACTCTATATACTCTACTCTTGTCCTACTCTCTCTCTCTGCCTGTTCTGCAAGTTCTGACTATGTTCTAGTACTTGCATTCTGTATTTCTGTTGTGTAGGATAGTTGTAGCCTAGGTCCCCTTGCTAAGCCTTTGGGTCCCCTTTATACTGTTACTGACATTAGATTAAGACTACCTTATTACTACCCTACAACTCTCCTATGTTTTGAGCATCAGTACTTACTATTGTATCAATCTCTTTCCTTTGTCCTAACCCTTTTACATTTTTAAATTTTAAACTTTCTAAACCCTTTTAAACTTTTGCCACCCTTCTTCTATTTATTACCCCTTTTAGTTTAGTGTTGACTCCTTTATAGTATAAACATGGACCCTACTATACTGACTGCCACCCTTACTGTCCTACCAGATCAGCAGTTATGAGCCAAACTAGCTTAATACATACAGACCTCTATCTAAGAGGCCTTTGTCAACTATGTGCCCCCAGCCTCTTCAGAACCTGTTCTGATTGTTCTGAAAGTCACAACCTGTTCTAGAAAGAAAGTACATGTAGCCTACCCTTTAGACTTTAATAGGTAGTACTTTAAGGACTTTTAGCACTAAGTCAAACTATATGTAGCTACTACTTTGACTGATCTATCCTCTAATCTTGATTGTGTCCTATTTGTCCTCTCCTTTATAAAGGAAGGCAATGTGGCCACCTAGGCTCAGAACTGGATCAAAGGTTATTAGATTGGAAGCCTGATCTGACTTTAGAACAATGAGTCATACTCAGAATTCATAAGGTAGCTCTGTACTTCCTTTATTAATCTGAATAAGAAGTGTAATACACAGAACAAGCTTACATCTCTGTAACAGGGCAAACATTCTGTTAATGCCTTCTTTCAGGAGTTCAATATCCTAGCCTGGAAGGTAGGATTCATGCTTGGGTTTAATAATGTCCTTATCAGAATACTTGAAAAAGCTCTTCACCCAGAACTAGTTAATAAGATTCTCAGAATGATGCTAGAACTAGTTACCTA